CAGGGAGAGCAGAGAGGGCACCTCGGGGGCCAGGGGATGGGAAGGACTCTGACCCTGAGCCAGGGTCCCTGGACCACTTCTCCCCCGGCAGGGCCGTCCCTTCTGATGGAGCCACCAGCTGGGAGGCAGCTTTCTGTGACCCACGCGTTCCCTCAGAGCAAGGAAAGGGGAATCCATGGAAGAGGCAAAGAAAGAGAGTCTCAGAACAGGGAGCCCAGAGGGCAGGGCAGAGCGTGGGTGGCGGAGGCTGAATTCTGCTTTAACATCGACAGGGAGCCAATGACAGCGGGGACCCCGAGCTTGTCCCCGGTGGACATCAGGCACATAGTAAGCCTCAAGCGATATTTGATGACTGTTGGGCTAATGGGAGAGGGAGACAAGGGGAAGAATGACAGGGAGCAAGTGAGGATGGAGAGGACAAGATGTCTCCACCGCATTGCACCCAGAACTCTACTCTGTCACCTTGTGTCCTACCTGGGGCTCAGCCTCAGATCTACACCCCGATCCCCCCCAGGCCCCCGCTGCCCGCACAGCCTCCATCTTCCACGCCTCGCACCTTTGCAAGCACCTGGTTTGCTGTCCAGGATGCCTCATGCATCTATGGCTCAAAGGAAAACTGGATGTGGCTCTTTTAAGGAGATGCTGGAGCCAGGTCCTGGGGGGAGGGGGAGGGGGTGTGTGGATGCTGAGCATGTGGGTCTGAGCCAAGACCATCCACCCTGCCTGCCTTTCCTGCCAGAGATGTCAACCTGGGTCTGACACCACCTTTCCTCCTGGTTGCTGAGAGGAACTTCTCTACCTCAGAGGTGTCTCCATTGCTCCCAGAAGATGAGCGTTTAAGGGGAAGGCGCCTACATGGAGGGCTCTCTCGGACTCCATCTTGGTTTTGAAGAATAATAGACGCCCTGATATTTGCATCTGACACGACCCTGGCCTGAGATGATACCAGGAACTGCTTATTCGTCTCCGTGTCACACATGGACATTAAGGCGGATGAGACTGACAAGACTTCTGCCAACCAAAGCTGAGTTCCCTGAGCTTCCAGGCACCCCAATGGGACACGGTTTTGCCAGGCCTGAGCCTTCGGGCTTCCCTCGGGTTTCAGCCAACCTGGGAAGGGGGGTGAGAGGATGGGGGGAGGGGGGCGGTGCACTCCCAGGACTCTGTGGGAAGCAGAACAGTCTGTCCTTCCTCACACTTCGTCCTGAAGATAGTGACAAGGACACAGCGAGATTTTCTAGGGAGGAGGGGACACACACCCAAAAAAATTAAAAAGGCCTGTCCCTCCCTCCTACACCAGACCAAAATTCACACTCATCAAAATAAATGAATGAATGAATGACAGGTGGGCAGAAGGAAAGAAAAGGCGGGGAGGGGGCTGCTTTCTCAAATGCCAGCTGTGTCTCCTGGAGGCTGTGAGAACAGCAGACACACCTTTGCTTCTCTCTGCAAACACTCTGGGCTGGAGAGGGACCCCAGCAGCAGTCTCTGGGGCAGGCTGGCAGGCAGAGCGGAGGCGCACCAGAGCTTAATTTGAAATAAACAGCGGTCCTGGGTTGTCTGCCCTGCCCCCCACCCCCACCCCGACTTCTCCAAGGCCCAGTGCGGTTCCCCCAGGCTCTGAGGCCGCCCAGACCCTGCAGTTTCTGTGACCTTACAGCTCCGAAACCCTCCCAGGCCTGAGCCCCCATCCTAACTATGTCACTCTCGCGGAAACTCCAAAGTTGGGGGCTGACCTCCGGACTTTGGCCCTCCTGGGGCCCTGGGGCCAAAGCGCAGCGGCCTGAGCAGAGACCAGAGGGCGGGCAACCCGGCTGCTGCGAGCTTCTGCCCCGCGCCTGGCCCAGCCGCCCCGGAGGGGAACCCAACTCCCAGCTGGGAGGACGCTGGGTTTGGCCCCTAATCCATAGGTTCCAGACACCAGGGAGATGCTCTCCGCCCGAGGTACCTGCCGGTCCTGCCTAGAAAGACACAAGACACTTGTCTTTCCCTGCGTTACCTCCGAAATTGGCTACTAACAGCGTTTCTCCCTTTCCATGGTTTGATGGCCGCATTTCCTGGTCCTACCCGCCCCCCACCCCCCGCCCCCGCTGGAGAGGTGACCGGAGGGGAGGCGGCGGTGCAGGTGCGACCCCACGCCCCGCGGAGGTTGGGGGGGGGGGGGGGAGTGAGGCCCTGGGCCCTGATTTCCCCGCTGACACTATCTGTATGTTTAAGTCCGCAAGGCGAGGGCACCCTCAGCCAGGATGTCAGAGAGATTTTTAAAAGAGGAGCATTGAGGAAGGGGGCATGGGGGGACTTGGCCTAGGAACTTGCCCGCAGGCCGTTCTAGGGGTGCGCTGAGGTATTGACTCGAGGCTCCCTTGTGCCTTGACTAAAGACAGATGTGTTGGGGGAAAGTTAGGATTTTTAAAAGTGAGAGAAAGGGGAAAAGGGAACGCAGTCCCTTTGGGACTGGAACTTCCCACGTGCTTTTCCCCTCGGAGAGCCAGCCGGTCCAGAGAAGCCGGCAGTTCGGACTCGGGCTCAGGCGCTGGTCCGAACCCCACCCCGTCTCAGGCCCCCCACATGGGTTGCAGCCACTGCCGCCCGGAGACGGGGTCCTCAGGAGCACAGGGAGGCTTCACACCTCCCTCCCAGGCACCTCCCCGTCCATCTCATCCCTCTTTCTCTCCGGAAACAGAAACGGGAAGAAAACCCAAAAGCAGCTTGGCCTCCAGTTCTAGGGGCGCGCGGGAGGGGGAGGGGGGACACAGGCGCCCGCGTGGGGAGAAACACACACGTAGGACTACTGCGCACACGGAGCGCGTCTCCGGGGGTCCGCGGCCTGTGATGACACAGGAACACCCAGGGCAGGGTGTCCGGGGGTCACAGGTATTCACTGCGCCCCGACGGAGCCATCTGCAACTTTCCTTTCCCTTTTGGCTGCAGCCGTCCAGCCTGGCGCCGGTCCGAGCCTCGCCTTACCTGCTCCTTCCAAAGAGACACGGAGCCGGCAAGGGGCTCACGCCCCGTGAAATGTACCAATGACCGAGAAGCGCCTGGGCGCGCAGGGCGCGGGGGGCTGAGGGCCCACCAGGGATTGGGGTCTTTCCCCTGCAGGGAACCGAGCCCTGGGGACCTGACGGGGGGAAAGGGTGCCCCGTCTCTGGGCGCCTCTACAGAAAAGGTGGCTCAGGCTGAGCTCTTGGGGAGACTCCGCTGCTCACCCCAACCATACTCTCCTCGGCCGCGCATCCCTGCAGGGCCCCCGCTTTTGCTAAGGAATTTGGGGAAGGGAGGTTATGCGCCTTCAGTCCTCAGGTATGGGGAACCCCATCCTGACCCCACACCGCTCACCCCCATCCCGGGACGCCACCCCACCCCCTGGCACCCCGGGTCAGCACCGCCCCGCAGAGCCGGCGAAACTCGCTCTGTGCCAACAACTCCGGGCCTCAGCGCCCGCGTAGACTCGGAGGGAGATTGGCGGCCCGGCTGGAGAAATTGAGCCTGGCGCCGGCCCCCCAGACGCCTGAAGAGAGAGAAGGGGAGGAGGGTCCCAGACCTCGGCTTCCCCAGTCCCCCTGGGGGTCCGCGCGCACCTCCAGGTCTCCGCTCCCCGCGGCAGACCTCGCGGCGCTGGCCCAGGTGCCTGGGCCGAACGCGTCCTTGCTACGTGCGAAGGGCAGCCGCTTGCTTTTCCCTTTCCCGAGCAGCGCCCCTTCCCTTCCTCGGCCCCACCAGACCGCGGGTCCCAACAGCGTTTAGCTCTTGGCAGAAGGCTCCGGCTAACACTGGGCCAAGGGCCTCAGTTTCCCCAAATGCAGCCTCAACTCTGGGGAAAGGGTTCCTGCCCCCACCCCCGCCGTCTTCCGGGCCGGGAAGAAAAGTCAGAGGCGACTGACAAGGGAAAGTCACACCCGAGCGCACCGAGCCCCTGAAGGGGGGTGGGGGAGTTGGCACCCAGGCCCCTGAAGACAGTCAGGGCTGCCTCACTGGCTAATCGATGGTCTCCACGTGTCCCACTCGGCCTGGCCCTAGCACGCCTAGCAGAGGGCAAGGCCTGGCACCTGGGAGGCGGGTGGGGGTGGGGGGACCCTTCCCGTGGTCTCCGTCTCCACGTTCTCTGCAGAATAGAAACGTCAGGCACGGGGAGCGCGCTTTTTACCGGCCGGGTCCTCTATAGACACGCACCTCCCAGCTCCCCTAACTGGGCTGCCCGGAGGTGGATCCTCACGGGAGGGCATACCGTGTCGGAATTTCTGCAGATAAATCTCCGCGGCAGAGCCATCCTGATGGAGTGGGACACACACCCTCCGCCGCCACTATCCAAGTTTTCCTGCAGTTTCAGCGAGTTGAGACCGTTTCTGGGCTTTTGGCGCCCCCTCTGGATGCAGCTGAAAAGTGCAGCCCGGTTTTTTAAGTCAACTGATTGCTTATCATGTTTTCCAAAAAGATACAAGAATACAAAATGCTTGTATCAAACGAACAGAAAATGTATACAGTACGATAGCTTACTATTTAAAGTGCTGCCTGTTTTACGTCCTATTATAAAAGTGCATTAAAATAGACTTACATGTGTACGTATTTTTCTTGACCAGTATTTCGTGAAATGTTCTAAACTATCTTCAAGTCGAGGTCGTCTTCAGTGCCTTCTATGCCAGTAAACATGAGAATTACAATAAAATGCAACTAAAGACAGACGCCTTGGTTAAAACTTCTGCCCCAAGTTCTGGTGTCTGAGCCTCCTTCTGGGTCAGTTGTCTACGAATCACAGTCAGACTCACGAAAGTCCCCTGCCCAGGACCCAGAAATCAGTCCATACTACCTACGCGGGACTTTTTCTCCCAAAAACAAGGACAAAGTTGTTCTTCTTTCCCGGCATATTAGGAAGCCATGAATGCAAGACTCTTGTATGGAGATCGCTTGACCTCCTTTTAAACTCTAAGATAACCAAGACACCCACTGTGAGTAACATTCGATTACAAAGTAAAATACTACTTAACAGGGTTGCAACTTACTGCTTTCTGAAGAGTTCCGTTTCCTATAAGAAATGTCCAGTTCTTTGGAAGAAAACAAGATTTTTGAAAGTTCCTCACGGAAAAACAGTCTTTAAAATCAGAGTGCCCGCAATTTGCAAATTAGAAATAAACAAGTCTTTGGTATGATTCCGGTCGGCCGAGTCACAAGAACCATCATTTAAATCGAGGTAAATATTTGCCGGAGCCAAGAAGGGGGGGGGGGTTGAAAATTAAGAGTTTTGCTCAGTTGGGCGTTTAGTTATGAATCTGGAGAGAAGTAACCCTCGGGCGACTAAAGTTTTTCTTCTCCCCCAGAAAAGATACCCAAACAGACTCTAAGCATGCGTGTAAACACAAAGATTGTGCTCAAATCACACTGGAAATACATCAGACACCCCCACCCCTCCACCGAACTCCCTACTGTCTGGGAGTCACAAAAGGACCCGACTATAAAGAGAGGTCGACAGGCGCCCCCCGCCCCGCTTTCCAGGTGATTGTGAAGGAGGGCGAAAGCAGGCAGGCAGCGCGACCGCCAGAGTGGCCTGTTTCTCTGCTGCGGGACCCATTTGTTTAGCCTTTTACAAACCGAGTGACTGGCCTCAGCCTCGAGGCCGGGGCGGCCACGTTCGCACAGCTCCCTGATCGCTCAGAGCCAGTTTGCACGCTCTTTCCAGACAACTCTTTGACTCGGCCGGGAGGTGAAGAGCAGACCATCAAAACAGTTGCCCTGTCACTGAGGCGCTCGCTCTGGCGGGGTAGGGGCTTGGAGGAGGGGAGGCTGGGGGGCTGGAGAAGGAATTGTCGGAGTTCAAGGTCAGCATGGCGCGAGTGCGGCTCTGCGAGCGAGTGAGTGAGCACGGGGCTACGCAGCCGCCTGCAGCCAGACTAGCCTTCGCCGGGGTTTCATTGATTCCCTTTGCAAAAGCGCAGCCGAATCCCGACCAGCCTCGCCAGCCCCAGCGAACCAGAGCATGTTCACCTATTTATATGGATTATTACGGAGGAACAGCGGGCGCTGAGTCACCAAAACATTTGTTGCAAAAGACCATTCCTAAGGACTTTCGGCACAGGCAGTCTCCCGAAGCAACCGGGCTGCGCCTTATGGAGAGGCTGCCTCTCAAATACTGTAAACTCCCCGGCTCAGTCCCCGGGACCGTGGAGAAAGCTCGGAGGAGAAGCGCTTTGGGGATGGGGGTAGATCCTACGCTAGACATGCGGGCGCGCGCGCGCGCACACAGACAGACACACACACACACACACACACACACACACACACGGCGGAGATTCGCGCGGAGACGCACCAAAATTCTGACATTGCGAGAGAGTACGGCAAACTTACACACTTGGACGTCCCGGGTCCCCCGCCTTTCCAGCAGCACCCCCCCTCCCCCTTAACCGCCCGGCCAGCGGCAGCCCTCCCCGCCCAGCTCCTCCCCGCCCCTCTCGTCACCCAGCCCAGTGCCACAATCCTCCCCCCCCCCCCATCCGATCCAATCAGCTGCCTGCCAGCCCTTGATTGGCTGGACGTGTCTAAGGTGAGGGGGGAGTATTTATTAAAGAGCAGCCCGGCTGGAAGTCGGAGAGCGGAGAGCAGAGCTTGAAATTCACTGGGAACTTCAGTGGCGCCAGGACTTGCCAGTTTCACCCCAGGAACTTTTCTTTGCAGGAGGAGAGGAGAAGGGGTGCAGTCGCCCCCGCTTTAGCTCTTTCTTCCCCTCTTCCTCCTCCTCCTCTCCAATTCGCCTTCCCCCACTTGAAGCGGGCAGCTGCGGGCTGGCCACCCCGCGCCTTCCCAAGTGCTCGCCGCTGCTGCCGCTGAGTGACGCGCCAGGCTCCCCGGGAGCCGCTCGCTCCGCGTCCGGGCAGCCGAGGGGAGAGGAGCCCGCGCCTCGAGTGCCCGAGCCGCCGCGGCTTCTCGCCTTTCCCGGCCACCCGCCCCCTCCCCCGGGCCTGCGCATGAATCTCCTGGACCCCTTCATGAAGATGACCGAAGAGCAGGAGAAGGGCCTGTCCGGCGCCCCCAGCCCCACCATGTCCGAGGACTCGGCGGGCTCGCCCTGCCCTTCGGGCTCCGGCTCCGACACCGAAAACACGAGGCCCCAGGAGAACACGTTCCCCAAGGGCGAGCCGGACCTGAAGAAGGAGAGCGAGGAGGACAAGTTCCCCGTGTGCATCCGCGAGGCCGTCAGCCAGGTGCTCAAGGGCTACGACTGGACGCTGGTGCCCATGCCCGTGCGCGTCAACGGCTCCAGCAAGAACAAGCCGCACGTCAAGCGGCCCATGAACGCCTTCATGGTGTGGGCGCAGGCGGCGCGCAGGAAGCTGGCCGACCAGTACCCGCACCTGCACAACGCCGAGCTCAGCAAGACGCTGGGCAAGCTCTGGAGGTAGGGCGGCGGCCGGGTGGGCTCCGCGGGGGCGAGGGGGGGCGGGGGGCGAGGGGGGGCGGGGGGCGGGGGCGCGGCAGGGGGAGGGGGACGCTGGCCGAGACCCGCTCTCAGTGCCCCGCCTCCCGGAGCGGGCGGGGTGGGGCTGGAGGGGGGTGGGGACGTGGTGTAACTTGGCTCGGAGTTTGACAAAGTTCTTGGATGGCTCCAGGGATGGGGGCGGGGGGCGGGGGGGGGGTGATGGACGGCCAGCGGGTGGGAGAAGGCTAGTAGGACCCACGCACCGTGAGAGAGGGGCAGCCTGATGAACTGCAATCCCAGATGGGTGCTGGAGTGGGAAGCGAGGTTTGCTTCTCTCTCCCAGGAACTGCGCGCTTTCGGCTTTCGCGCAGCTCTGCGCTCCCGGAGTTGGGATGGAGGGCGGGGAGAGAAACCCAGGCTAGGGGACCCCCTTAGCCGGAAGGGGGCGGCGGAGGGAGGCTCCTGGAAATAGGTGGGCGCAGTGTTGGGGGGTGGACAGGAGGGGTTCCTTGCAAATTGAGTGGGATTTTTGGAAAGTGTTTGAAGGGGGTAGGGGGAGGGAGGGTGGGGTGGGAGAGGGGTGACTCCAGTAGCAGAGCCATTAAGAACGGGGCAGCGGAGAGCTATTTCCATCTGCAGGGTTTCCAAAATAGAAGAGAAGGGGAGAGGGCGGGGCGCGGAGTGACCGCTCACGTCCCACTAAAAGAATAGGGGAGACCTTTTTTTTAACTTTTTGTTGTTAAGAAAAGTTATGAGCTGCGGCAATGGCTGGAAAGCAGAGGGAGGGAGCGGGGGGGGGGCGGGTTGTGTGCAAAAGCAGCAACGGAGAGGTCGGGGGTCACCTCCCGCTCCCGCCGCCGTGACAGCGCCGCAGATTTCACAGACCTGCCCCCCTCTTTTCCTCTGCGCCCCCTTTCGCGCACGCAGACTGCTGAACGAGAGCGAGAAGCGGCCCTTCGTGGAGGAGGCGGAGCGGCTGCGCGTGCAGCACAAGAAGGACCACCCGGACTACAAGTACCAGCCGCGGCGCAGGAAGTCGGTGAAGAACGGCCAGGCGGAGGCCGAGGAGGCGGCCGAACAGACGCACATCTCCCCCAACGCCATCTTCAAGGCGCTGCAGGCCGACTCGCCGCACTCCTCCTCGGGCATGAGCGAGGTGCACTCTCCCGGCGAGCACTCCGGTGAGTCCCCACCCCCCCACCCCCCCCCCCCCGGGGCCCTCTGAGCCCAGCCACCACCCTCCTGGCGCACCCCCAGGCCTCCACCTAATAGGCTCTGCTTAGGGACTTGGCGCCACCCCGGGGGAGGGAACCGCCATCCCCCACCCCTAGCCTAATCCCCCTCCCCTCTCTGTCCAGGGTCGCAGGAAGCCCCTAATCACAGGCGCGCACACACACACACACACACACACACACACACACACACACACGACTCCCCTACAAGTAGCAGTTTGGCGGAGGGTCCTCGGGTGCCCGGATGAAAGAAGATGGCCCAGTGTGGACTGGCAGGTTGATTATTGAGGGTCACATCTCCAGGGCAGCGCGCCTCCCTTGTGGATGCGGGGCCCTTGGACCCTTTATCAGGGAGGGAGCGAGGGAGGGTCTCCGGAGGGTTCCTAAGACACCCCTCGCTGATTTTCATGCGCCTCTTTCTCTTTTGTTGCCTGCAGGGCAATCCCAGGGCCCACCGACGCCACCGACCACCCCCAAAACCGACGTGCAGCCGGGCAAGGCTGACCTGAAGCGAGAGGGGCGCCCCCTGCCCGAGGGGGGCCGACAGCCCCCCATTGACTTCCGCGACGTGGACATCGGCGAGCTGAGCAGCGACGTCATCTCCAACATCGAGACCTTCGACGTCAACGAGTTTGACCAGTACCTGCCCCCCAATGGCCACCCGGGGGTGCCGGCCACGCACGGCCAGGTCACCTACACCGGCAGCTACGGCATCAGCAGCACCGCGGCGGCGGCGGCCCCGGCGGGCGCGGGCCACGTGTGGATGTCCAAGCAGCAGGCGCCCCCGCAGCAGCCCCCGCAGGCCCCGCAGGCCCCGCCGGCGCCCCCACAGCAGCCGCCGCCGCCCGCGCCCCCCCAGCAGCCGCCCGCGCCCCCGCAGCCGCAGGCGCACACGCTGACCCCGCTGAGCAGCGAGGCGGGCCAGGCCCAGCGCACGCACATCAAGACGGAGCAGCTGAGCCCCAGCCACTACAGCGAGCAGCAGCAGCACTCGCCGGCGCAGCAGATCGCCTACAGCCCCTTCAACCTCCCGCACTACAGCCCCTCCTACCCGCCCATCACCCGCTCGCAGTACGACTACACCGACCACCAGAACTCCGGCTCCTACTACAGCCACGCGGCCGGCCAGGGCTCCGGCCTCTACTCCACCTTCACCTACATGAACCCGGCGCAGCGGCCCATGTACACCCCCATCGCCGACACCTCCGGGGTCCCCTCCATCCCGCAGACCCACAGCCCCCAGCACTGGGAACAGCCCGTCTACACACAGCTCACCAGACCTTGAGGAGACCGGAGACAAAGGGTGATGGATGGATGGATGGATGATCGGCCTGATGTTCATAAAAACAACCGAAGAAAGAAAGAAAAAAACAAAACCAACCCACCAGAATTTCTGTGCATTGGACATTATTTTTTCTTCTTCTTCTTCTTCTTCTCATTCCATAAAGACATTTTAAGCTACAAGGCAACTCGGACCCAGATTCCAAGACAGAAACGTTTGCTGTCCAAAACGCATGCCCACCTTGTTGGAGGCAGGCAGTGGCCAGGCCACTCGGGGCTTCGAGGGGCCCCGCGGCATCTCCACGCGAGGCGGGACTTGGAACCCTTCTTCACAGCGAGCTCGGAGGATGGCGGAGACCCGTGGGACCGTGTTTGCTCAATCCCTCTGCCTGTTTGGACTTTGTAATTATTTTTTAGCAGTAATTAAAGAAGAAAGTCCTCTGTGAGGAATATTCTCTATTTTAAATATTTTTAGTATGTACTGTGTATGATTCATTACCATTTTGAGGGGATTTATACATATTTTTAGATTTTAAAAAAAATTAAATGCTTATTTTTCCAACAGCTAAACTACTTAGTTGAACAGCGTGCCCTAGCTTTTCTTGCAACCAGAGTATTTTTGTACAGATTTGCTTTCTCTTACAAAAAAACGAAAAAAAAAAAGTGTTGTTGTATTAACATTTTAAAACCCCCCCACAGGTTTGTGTTATGAGATGAGTTTGGGGGGAGTGGGGGTGTTAGCTTTGCTTAATGCCTCAGGCTTTCTGATTGGAGGAGGAGCTGCCTTAGACAAATAAAGGCCTTATTTTGCGAGTATGGACCTACACACGTTAGTCTAGAGAAGCATATGGTAAGTGTGGTCACATATTTTTTTTAAACGAGAGAAAAAACACACCTTGAGCCTTAAAAGCATGCTGCTGACAAATACCTGCGCTCTCTTTTAGTGCATTTATTTCCTCCTGGGTTTGCCTGTTCAAGGAAACCTTAAGCAAGAAGCAAAAGGCAAGGAGAGGAAATGTGATGTGGGGATGTTTCAACAGCCAGCCAGTGCCTCCCCCACCCCCCACCCTCAGCACCCTGCCCCCTGGTTGCCTGGCCTGCCCGGCCCCATGTGGGGACACAGATGCCAGCCGCCTCCCACAGTCACCCGTGCCTCTCTGAACACCAGCAGTCAACCTTCAAGACATTCCACGTGCTCAGATTATTTATTTTGTAAGGAGAGGTTTTAATTAAAAAAAAAAAAAAAAACTTCCTTTTTTTTTATTTTTAAAATTTACCTTTTAAAATAGGTTGTTGGAGCCCTCCTCAAAGGGTATGGTCATCTTGTTAAATTATGTTCTTAACTGTAACCAGTTTTTTTTTTTTATTTATCTCTTTAATCCTTTTTTTTTTGTATTATTAAAAGCAAGTTTCTCTGGATTCCTTGTCCAAGATTTGTATAAATATGCCTTTTTGTCCGTCCTTTTATTTTTTTTCCCTTCGTTGTTTTTGTTGAAAAACTGGAAACTTGTTTCTCTTTTTTTTTTTTTTTGTACAAATGAGAGGTTTCAAATGTAGTGTATCACTGAGTCCTTTGTAGTGTTTTCTGCCACAGATCCACGGGCTGCCTACACGGCGCGTGTGGTGTGACACGGGACAGCGGGGGCCCGCGCCAGCCTGTTCCTCTGCATGTTCTCTTGGAGAGAGAGAGGAAGGGGGGAGGGGCGAGCCCGCTGGCGGACCTTAATTCTTAATTATTTCTGTGGCTGGAGCGTTTGAGGATTGCTTTTTAAAAAAGACAGCAAACTTTTTTTTTATTTAAAAAAAAGATATATTAACAGTTTTAGAAGTCAGTAGAATAAAATCTTAAAGCACTCTTATAATATGGCATCTTTCCATTTCTGTATAAAAGCAGATCTTTTTTTTAAAAAAAATATTTCTGTAACTTAAAAAAACCTGGCATTTAAATCATATTTTGTCTTTAGGTTAAGGTTTGGTTCGTGTTTGTGTTTTGTTTGTTTCCTTGTCCCCCTCCCCATACACCCCGAAACTTTTGTTCTCTCTGTGAAACTTACCTTTTCTTCTCTCTCTTTTTTTTTTTGTATATTATTGTTTACAATAAATATACATTGCAATAAAACGAACACTGCCCTGTGGACTTACTCACCCCTTTCTCTTGGGAAAAGGATGATTTGAAGAGACTGTTCTCTGGGAGGTTTTGGTTTTTAAGTGCACTCTTGGCAATCCCAAAACCAGCCCTGGGAAGACAGTGCCCTCAAACATCAACACACAAAGATCTTGTCAAGTGCCACCCCATTAGGGCACAAAGAGAATCACATGTCAGTAGTTGCCCGTGCCCGCGAGTGTGTGCTGTGGTTTGGGGCAAAAGCTGTTCCCTGTGGAAGTCGGGAGGGCATATTAGCCCGAAGTCAGCGGCCTGTCGGAAGGTACAGGCCAGAGGGGGTGACTTGCTTGTCTGACTTCATGAAAGCCAGCTTTCTGTGATGATGAACGCACCCCCCAAAATGGGGTGTCCACTTCCAAAGCAAAGGAAGCCAGAGTCGAACAGTGTCAGGAGGAGGGGGGCCAGGGGGCAGCCTGTCCTATTAACCAGGGAAATCATTCAGAGTTTATCTGTGGGGGCCACAGAGTGAGATGGTTTTTCTGTTCCCTCCAGTTTAACTCCTTCTGAGGCGATGCAAAGCCATCGCAGAAGTAATAAGGCCTAATCCTGTTTTCCTTGGCCCCGGTTAGATGGGAGTTTCCAGGATCAGAGAACCGTTCAGGTCATTTTTCATTACACAGATGAAATCACTCCTTCCCTCCCACCCCCACACGGAGACGCCCCGCCCCCACCGCAGCTGATCCTCACGGGGAAGTGTCTGTGAGGAGGCAGGTCTCCTCTGCAACCTGGGCTGGAGTTGCTGCTGGGCCTGCGTCTCCGCGGCCTGCACCAGCACCCACCTCTCCCGCATCACCTCCCATTGTCTGCTTTTGCTGATTGGATTCCTGGCCTGCGTCCCACGCCAGGATCATGGCAACCAGGAAAATGGTAGTTATCCAATCGAGGCAACGTGAGCACTCGGCCTCCTTGGCAAATTCCTTTGGCAAACATGGATTGAGGGCCTGGGATCTGCTGGGTGCTGCACAAACACCTCCCTGCCCCCCCCCCCCCCCCCCCGCCCCGCCAACCCCATCCCAGGCGGCAGATCCTGCTGCTTGTTGGTGCCATAACATCCCACCCCACCGCCCAGAGCCCATCCTCCATTTTTACAAAAATCTCTATTTTTTCCCCCTTGCCAACACTCCCAAAGTCCTTTATAACTGTCTCTGTTAAATTTGTATTCACCCAAATCCCTCTGTCCATTAAAATTGACAGTCGTCCAATCATGCTCGGCCCTGTCCCCACCTAGGTTTTTGAGATTCTTCTCTCCACTCCTAGGAACATGGTCTTTTCCTCAGTTTCCCTCAGCGCATGACCTTGGGCAGACCTCCCGAGAGCCAGAAGACGCCATTGAGACATAAACTTGCTGGGTGACCTAGAACAGGCTGCTTACTGGCCCGTGCCTCAGTTTCCCCTTTTGTTAAGCATGCTTATAATCCCTCCCTCGTGGAACAGGGTTGCATTAGGGCAGTTTGGGGCGAGGAGCAGGCTGAGAATTCACTCGCTCTGAATCTCCTGGTCGGTGCAGGATTCCTTTGGAAGGTAAAGGAAAATGTTTGGGGTTTTCACGGGCTCCCCACACGGCATTGATCCACAGGAAAATACAGGGCACACCCGAGTGCAGAGAGCAAGTGCCTCTGAATCCCTTCACCCCCACCCCCCAGATCCAGTCAAAGGCCAGCAACACCAGATTAAATATTTTAGAGGCATTTTTTAGTCTAAATCCAGAAATGCAGGGCTTATCACCCTGACAACAAGACATTTATTGGGATCCTAGCAGAGAGTCCTCCAGACCAGAAAGGACTTGTATTTTAGATCCCAGGTTGTTTGTTTGCACTTGAAAAAAAAATTTTTGTAAAACCATTTTAAACAAAAAGTAAAAGGAATTTTTAACAGAAGGGAACTTGAAAAAAATCACTTAGAAGCAGTCGTTGGGGCTGTAATGAACATGCGCTTATGGCTTCGCGTGAGCAGTGTGTTTGACTTTCCCAGCTCAGCGCCATCCTGCTCCTTCCCTCCCCTTCACTTCCAACAGGAACATGTCGGAGGCACCACTTGGTCAATTGCTAGAGATCAAGATGCACTTACGAGGTCGCTAAAGATGCTTAAGCTTCAGGACTCCTCATAGGACTTGGACTTAATCTCATATTTTTTAAAATGTATAACCTTATTCTTTAAGATCCCCCTCCTCCCCTGAAAAAAAAAAACTGATACACCTCAGGCCCCACAAAACCTGGGTCTGCCCTTGATCATGGCTGTTGGACAGCAAAGTATGACGTCAGAGGCTGCCAGGAAGATGCTTTCCCTTCTCTTCAGCAGTCCTGACACTTATAGGTGCGTAGTAAATTCCAACCTTTCCTGGCGAGGTCACCGACGCATTATCAGGAATCTCTGCCGTAACATTCTACCACCTGTCCTTACATACCTTTCTTATCCCTCTGAGACCCAAATGCTTTTCATTTCTCAGAAGATGCTATCTCATGGGCATAGCAGAGATGGCCGAAGTACTAAGGCCCATACGAAATGTTTGTTATTTCTCCTACCTCATATCTTCACTTGCTCTTCCTACTCGTGTCTTTTCTTCCTTTCTTAGGCCATCTCTGTCCTGCATTTTCCTAGGGTCTCCTATTAACTCTGGATGCTGAAAAGAGTTTGCTGGGCCCTCATGGGGCTGCTTCTTTTCCGCCACTCACAGACTAGAACTCGTTCACGCTGGACAGCTGAAGAATTGTTTGTGGACCAAATACAACACGGGCCAGGCAAGGTCAGATTTGCACTCACTCAAGACAACCAGACAAAATTCGGGTAATATGTACATTACCTTGAAGCTTCGGCTGGACACGTCCCTTGAAATGCCAAGATTTTCTATTGAACTGAGTCCTGTTGCCACGATTTCAAGGTGCCATATTCCACTTCTGGGAGGTTTCTACTCTTCATTCTCCCCACAAACCTTTGGAGAGCATCACCTGTGGGTCAGGATTCAGCAGTGAACGTAGTCTCCCTGCCCTCATAGGGCTTACATTTATTTTATTGTTTTCTAGGTTATTATTATTTTTAATGTGTTTTTATTGATTTCAGAGAGGAAGGGAGAGGGAGAAAGAGATAGAAAGATCAATGATGAGAGAGAATCATTGATTGGCTGCCTCCTGCTCGCCCCACACTGGGGATTGAAGTGTGACCTCCTGGTTCATAGATGGATGCTCAACCAGTGAACCACACTGGCCAGGCACAGGGCTTACATTTTAGAGAAAGCAGGAAAAACACAGAGTCCTCCTGCTATTTTCTTGTTCGTGTACTCTGAGCAATGATTAGGGCCAGTTGGGAGGCTATAGCAGCCACCCAGAGAGAGATGATGGTGGCCTAGTTGAGGATGGCAGAGACAAGGTAGTTAATGGATTGGGGAATGATTCAGGTGAGGACTTCCTGATTTTTTTTTTCTCTTCTAATCTCATCCATTTTTCAGTGACATGAAATTTACTCTGACCCCATTGACATAGAAGTGACCTAGGCTCTTGTACCTTAGTCACTCCCCCCTGCCCACCTCAATAACACTCTGTAAGTGCCTGTACCTCTTAATTAAGCACAAATTTGTGTATCTCACAATCCCCCTTTTGCCAGAGACCTCAAAAGAAGGGTCTAGTCCAGTGATGGCGAACCTATGACACGCGTGTCAGAGGTGACAC